GTTGCTGGAAAAGTGATTTTCAAGGAAAGCTGCAATTTAGTTATGAAATGGTCCAAACTGAAAAAAAAAAAAAAAAAAAAAAAAAATCTTAAAAATATTTTTAAGCTGAATCTCTGGTATAAAAATAATGACAGTTTCTTACCCTCTGACAAAATGTGTGTTGTATAAGAAAAGCTTTGTTACTTGAGCTTCTGCTTTGCTAAGTTCTGAGCAAGGTTCTGAGCTAGTTTCTGAGTTGATGGCTTCTTGTGTTGGTTACACTGAGGAAGAATTTTGACGTGTACTCCTGAATTTTGGCTTTCAGCAGCTAACAACTTGCAAACAAAAATGAAAATGGAATGGCTCACATTAGTGAAGCTGCCCCCTCCAAACCCCCAACCTTAGGATTTATGTTTAACACTGGATTTACTTGTGCTCTGCGTCTGTGTAGTGAGACGTGTTAATGCTCCCCATGATTCTCTACAGTAAAAATGGTCCTTAAATATTAAATATTATGTTGCTGGAGGACAGCATGCCAGTTAATCCTAAACTCACATAGAGCGAGAAAGTAACATTATAGGCTTTATCACCAAGAGTTGAAGTGATGGTACTGCCTAGAAGAGAATTCAGTATTGCTGGTTCCAAAAAATATAAGAGCAAGATTAAGCATGACTCTGTAGCCACTGATTGAAATTTGTGTATGACTCAACAGACTTGATCTATGTGTGTGTATGCGTGTAAAACATATTTGTGAGACCTCTCTTTTTTTTGAAGCTTTCTCTTGGTATTTTACTTCTTAAACTTTGTTTTTCATGATTCTTCAGATAGTTGATACTCTATTTTTACTAAAGCTTAAAAGGTCAAGACTAGTTGTTGGATATTGCTTGATACCTTTCCTTTCTAGAAAGATACATCTCTTTTTGGTTTTAGAAGTTTGGTTTCTTGATATATCCTGAAGTGACATGAATAAAAACAGAAAAAAAAGAATATAAGTGAATGCTTCTGAAATTCCTACTTTATTGCAGATAGGAGATGAAACCAGTTTAGAAAAATCATTTTAAATTCAGTTTTTACTTTATAAGGAATATTGAAATGTAGATGTACATCGAAGATATTGTAACTAGCTCTGTAGCATTAAATTACAAGTATACAAAACACCTAAAGTACAGTAATTATTACTGGAAATACTGTATACAAGTAGCTGCTTGCCTGCTCCATGATGAGAACAGTTATGCCTTACGGTGCAAGAGCTAATTATAATAGAAAATACAGCTGCTCTTTAAGGTCACAATGAAACTGGAAATGCTTGATCAGTAAGCTCCCATTTCAGAAGAAATTTACTGTATTTCCTATTCAGTTTCATTTTCATTGACTGAAACTTGAACCTGGAGCCTCAGGTCTGATATTTTGCTAAGTACACTGACAGAAAATTAGGTATTTAATTAGGTGTGAAAACATTAAAATAGTAATAATTTAAAAAATTGATTGTCCAAAGCACCTACCTAGCAATCAGTACTGGGGTAAGCTAGAAACACTGTGTAAATGAACAGTTTATGCTGTAACAAGGAGAGCTGTGTTCCTTATTCAAAATATCTGAAAAATAGGAATTTAAACATTGCTTGCTTGTCTTTTTATGTAAGAAACTTACTGAAATTGTTATTTGGCCACGGATGGTTTCCAGCCAGCAGGTAGCTGCCTAATTCAAATATTAATCAGGATTTAGAAGGGGCTTAGCTACTACTGTTACTCTTGAGAAAAATGTGAATTATAGGAGTGACCAAAAAATAACAGCTAATGAAGAAAGGGCTCTCATGGGTTCAGCACGGGTTTCTTACCTTCCTCTAGCACTTGGAACTAGCCACATAAATTGGCTAGCTGGTTATGATCTACAATTCTTTCTCCTCTTGTTCATTAAATTGTTAAAGTTTTAATGAGTTCTGCATGCCTTCTTCCAGACTTCAGCGTATAAAAACTTCAATGTATATTAGTTCAGATGAAGGAAGATAAAAAATCTTCCATATTCAGAAAGATCAACATCTTATAGTGTTAATTCTGTCTGAGCTTCAGGAAGCTTTTGGAATAACTTTTCTTGCTTGCTGTGTTTATCGTAGTCGAGTGCTCTCCCATGTCCCAAGCCTTAGTAATTCAACAGCTTCTGTCACCTTTTCACAGCAGTTCATACAGTTCATATTGTTAGTCAGCATCACACATAGAGACGTGAACCATGACGCTGAGTAGAGTTCCTGGAAAAAAGTATGACCGAGTTATTATTTAATTTAGAACAGAAAAGAAATCTTAACCTGCTAGCAGTGAGTAAGCAGCAAGCCTGTCGTTGAAGAGCTAAGGCTAAGGATTGTTTTCTGTGTTTGTTTTCTGTAAGTCACTGAAGTGGGAACTTTTCTTGAGTTTCTCATGTGTCCTTAAATAAATGTGTTTAGAAACAGCTGTAAGCTGAGAGTCTGTGTTCTTAGGACCTATGTTTCTAAATGCTTAACATTGTTTAAGAGTACGGAAATAAACTGTCCTAGTCACTGGAAACTTGCATCTTTTCTAAGAGTGTTCCCTTGTCTGATAAGACCTGCATGATGCTTTTAATTATGAGTTGAATGAGAAGTCCATTCATTGTACTCTGCCAGATGATGTAGTTAAAAGCAAAATAGTGCTAAATATGCAGTCTGAGTGAGCAGAAACAAATTAAATAAGTGTACAGAAGCAATAAAGGAGTTGCAGATAGCTCAATAGATGTCATCAATCAGAGAAGCAAGCACTGTACAACAAATGTGGCATGGTGTTTGTGACCTCGCTACACTAAAAGAGGGATTTAAGAGCTAGATCCAGTACAACGGCACATTTGCAGCTGCAGGCAAAGACATAAACAGAAATGGCATATTTGGAAATCAGCAAGGTTAGCAGCAGATGAAATGAGGTTCACTCCTAGAGCTTCGCATATGTGTGTTTTCACGTTTAGTTTTTGTACCTGTTTGCAGATGACACCAATTTGGGAGGCAGTGTTGATCTGCCTGAGGGGAGAAGGGCACTACAAAGGGACCTGGATAGACTGGATCAATGGACCAAGGTTAACTGTATGAGTTTCAATGGGGCCAAGTGTCGGGTCCTGCATTTTGGTCACAACAACCCCAGGTAACCCCACAGGCTTGGGGAAGTGTGGCTGGAAAGCTGACTGATGGAAAGGGACCTTGGTGTACTGATGGACAGTCATGATATGAATATGAGCCAGCAGTGTGCCCAGGTGGCCAAGAAGGCGAGTGGCATCCTGGCTTGTATCAGGAATGGGGTGGTGAGCAGGACTAGGAAAGTCATCCTGCCCTGTACTTGGCACCGGTGAGGCCTCACCTCGAGTACTGTGTTCAGTTTGGGGCACCTGAGGAGGTGCTGGAGCAGGTCTAAAGAAGGGCAACAAGGCTGGGGAAGGGCTTGGAGAATATGGCCTGTGAGGAGAGACTGAAGGAACTGCAGCTGTTTAGTCAGGGGAAAAGGAGGCTGAAGGGAGACCTTATTGCTTTCTTCCAGTACCTGAAAGGTGCTTGCAGGGAGAGCGGGGCTGGTCTCTTCTCACTGGGGGAAATGGCCTTAAGTTGTGCCAGGGGAAGTTTAGGTTGGATATCAGGAAACACTTCTTTACACAAAGGGTTGTAAGCGCTGCAATAGGCTGCCCAGGGAGGTGGTTGAGTCACCGTCTCTGGATGTGTTTAAAATCCATTTGGATGTGGTGCTCAGGGACATGATTTAGAGGAGGGTTGGTAGAGTTAGGGTAGTGTGGTTGGTTCGTGGTTGGAGTTGATGACCTTTAAGGTCTTTTCCAACCCGAGTGATTCTATGATTTTATTTTTCTAATAGTGTCAGCAAGTTTGCACATTTATATTTTCTACTTTGCTATACAGTGTGAGGACGATCTGAAAACGTGATGAAAGATCCAGATTTTCAAGGCTTACTGGTTTTAGGCACACAGCTATCCAAGTACTTTGTAAGTATTCTTAAGTATTCCATTAAAGATGGAATTAAGTGAAAAGAAAAGTGAAATAAAACAAAGGCTTTGGAGATGGAAGATGAAAATGGAAAAGAAAAAAAAGCACTTGAGCTGCTTGTTGCTAGAAGCATTTCAGAGTACTCCAAATTCTTTTTATGACAAAAAATTATATTTTGCAGTACATTGAAAATGAAAAATAATTGCTGTCTGATGTTAGTCTGGAAATTCTGAATGAAACCCATGGCTTTATTACGACAATCTCATGGTTGCATTGTATCACTGTGAATTTTTTACTGTGCAGATTTTCAAATGGAATACTTGATAAGATTCCTTTACTTTGTATGTTGTGTAAAAGAGGCCTAGGGGTAAATTGTTATTTTTGTTCGTGCTGGAGGAGATTATTACATTTTCATCTCTCAAACATATTTAATTCTGCTTTTACAACATACAGAGATATTCTTCTTCAGTAGAACAGCTGGATTGAGCTAGCATGGAATGTCTGGAAGCTTTTCCACTTGAATTTGTGTGGGACAGGTCACGTAAACACATGTTCTAATTGCAAGGGGAGGGATCTGTTGTTTGAAATGGGTTGCTTATCAAACTACAGTTCATTTGCTATTTTTCATTCATTACAGATGTTCTAATTGTTGCAGCAACATTGTGGCTTTGTGAATAATTGTATTTAAATGTTATCACTTCTGGTTGTCAGTGTTATC